AGCGGATATAGCGAATGCAGGATCCGGGGAGACCAGATATAGTGAATGCAGGGTTCAGGGAGACCGGATATAGTGAATGCAGGGTCTGCGGAGAGCGGATATAGTGAATGCAGGGTCCGGGGAGACCAGATATAGTGAATGCAGGGTCCGGGGAGACCAGATATAGTGAATGTATGGTCCGGGGAGAGCGGATATAGAGAATGCAGGATACTGGGAAACCAGGTATAGTGCATGCAGGGTTCGGGGAGATCAGATATAGTGAATGCATGGTCCAGGGAGACCAGATATAGTGAATGCAGGGTCCAGGGAGAGCAGATACAGTGAATACAGGGTTTAGGGAGACCAGATATAGTGAATGCAGGGTCCGGGGGGGACCAGATATAGCGATGCAGGGTCCGGGGGACCAGATATAGCAAATTCAGGGTCCCGGGAGAGCGGATATAGTGAATGCAGGGTCCGGGGGGACCAGATATAGTGAATTCAGGGTCCCGGGAGAGCGTATATAGTGAATGCAGGGTCCTGGGTTTAGGAACAATTTAAGTGTTATCCTACAGGAATGCCAAGCAAATGGGAAATATTAGTTCAAGTGGAAAAATCCTCTAAGTAATGTGTTATACTCCAAGGCATTATAACTAAATCTATCTCATGCTGGAGTATTTATTCAACAAAATACCGGAGATATAAAATCTAAAGATCCCTGACCTCAGGTTATTTAGTTAAAGACAGAGAAGCACCAAATCAAATATTCATCATATTTTTTATGTATGAAATATTCATGGAATAGGTCGGGTTACTTGTTCTTGGTAGACCCATTGCACAACAACAAAGGGATGTTCTCAGGTTCAACTTCAAGAACAAAGCAGAGGTCACACACGATGCATGTCTTGGCTGGGTCACCATCCTTGAACTCGTGGCTTTCATTATTGAAAATATATATCAGGACAAAAGGCTGATGATCTGCTGTTGATAAACATGTAGACATTGGGGGTTATTTACTAAAACTGGAGAGTGGAAAATCTGCTGCAGCTCTGCTTAGAACCCGATCAGCTTCCAGACTTTATTGCCAAAGCTTAAAGTACAAATAAAGGCAAAACTTTCATTTTGTTTTGGATCGAGTAGAGATGGATTAGAACACCTATTAGGTTTTTATTGCCGTATGTGCCCCTGTTAGGGAGAGTCTTCCTCTCTGTTTGTCCTGTTTACCATTATTGTTGAAAGAGAAAGTAAAAGAAAAGCCCAAATTTTGGGTTTTCCCCAGAAAAGTAATAGTGGGGACATCTTTTAATGGGAACATTAGTCTCAGTGACCTGGAGGTCCCAAAGGGATTTTCCCTCACTTTTGGCTATGGGACAGAAAATGAAGGTAAACTCCCCAATAAGACAAAATGGCATAAAATAAACTGACAGGGGTATAATCCTCCCTTACTCTATCCAAAATTAAAAAAAAAAAGTTTTGCCTATAGTTCTACATTTAATTGAACATGCTGAAGTTAGAAGCTGATTGGCTACAATGCACAGGTGCACCAGATTGAGTGCACCAGTTTTAGTAAGTCATTGCTGGCTTAAAGTCATTGTAAACCCTTACATATACCCAGTGAAGTGACTGGCCTTAGGTAATACACAGAGATGAAACAAATCCTCCTGCATAAGCTGTATCTGTTTATCTATACATCCTCCTAAAACACACAGATCAAAGCTTATTTCTCAGTAGTAGAAGGCAGGGGGCAGAGATCTGCCATTACACACTGCACAGCTAGAGCACAGAGCCCAGTGAAACCTTAAACCTTAGTGGAGGGAATGGACACACCCTCTACACAGAAACATAAGGAAATATAAACAGACAGTCAGCTGTTCTATGCAGATCCATAGTGTTGGCATAGACTATTACCAGTGACTCATGCAGATAGCAGAGGGAAGAGACAGCAGAGAGAAATGACACTCAGTGTTTTGAATTGAGACTAGGATATGCTTTGTTCATTTTTCATGGCAGAGGTTTACAATCACTTTAGAGTGAATTAGACTATGCACACTAAAGTAATCACAAAGTATGAACAAGCAGTAAAAGTATTTTAAAACAAACCCTCAATTACCTCTGTATCTATAAGCATTGTGGATAGATTAATCTTCACATTTAACAACACAGGCATTCAAATCTTATCATCTTGATTTGAATGAGCTGCCGTGCCTACACTTCCTGCAGGGGAACAAGGCACTACGCCTTTTTAAAATGTGCCCACATGGAAACCACATGGTTCTTTTGTAGAACTTTGGAAAACAAACTCTAAGTGTATGAGCAGCTCCTCCACTCAGCCCTCTTCTCTGCTGTTCTCTGTTTGCAATTAAGAATTGTGCCATCACCATTGGGATGACTGAAAGGATAGACATATGTAAATCAACTGCATTTCAGTAAAGAGTTAAAAGACTTCTGTTGTGTAGACTCTTCCATCATCTAACCTCAAGATGGGAAATCAGCTGTAAATGGACAAGTACTAGGCGAGGCTGCTTTGGGATCCATTCCTATAAGGCCTGAGGAAAGTATACAACTGGCTATTGGGTGGTGCTGGTTATCCGGGGGCCTCTGAAGGGTTCTTTTGTATTAGAGTTTAGGGGAGAGTTCCTTACCTATAGTGCCTCAGTGAGTCTAATGGGACCCAAGCCTACCCCTACCTTCCCCATTACCTTAGTAGTCGTAACCTTCTGGAGCTTCTGGCGTTAATACTATCAGCTGAACTCATCAACAATGCTGACTTTACCCACCCGCCATCCATTCTTGACCACTTCCTGTCCGGACACTTTTACCCCCTTCCTGTCCAGGGCAATTTTCAGCTTTCAGTGCTATCACACTTTGAATGACAATTGCGCGGTCATGCAATACTGTACCCATATGAATTTTTTACCATTTTTTTGAGACAGATAAAGCTTTATTTTGGTGGTATTTATTCACTGCTGGGATTTTAATTTTTTTTACTATGTAAATGAAAAAGTCCAAAAATTTTGAAAAAAAAAAAGTGTTTTTTTTAAATAAAATTTTGCAAATAAATAATATTTCATCATAAATCTTGGCCAAAATTTATTCCGTTATTTTTTTAGTAAAAAAAAAAAAATCCAAATTAGTTTATAACCAAAAATTTTAATTTTTAAACATTTTTTTTTACATTTTTATTTTATTTTTTTTATATTATTATTTTTTATTATTTTTTTTTTTTTTTACATACTGTCACCCTAGCAGTACAGTGTCACCATGGTGACACTGTACTACTTGTGGGGGATGATGAAGATATTTTATTTTTTTTTTTTTTACACTGATTGCTTTTACACCCATATAGGATGTAAAAGCAATCATTTCTCTTTCTCTCTGTCTGCATTCTTGCAGTCATTGAGAAGTACTGAGTGAGCTGTGATTGGTCACAGCTTGTCACATGGTACAAGGCTGTTGTGAATAGCCTTGTACCATGTGACCTCTGTGATCATTCACAGATTTCACACGTAGTAAGCAATGATGTCACAAGTGACATCTTGCTTACTACTTTGCATGTGATCACTGATTCGCCAATCAGTGATCACATGATCGAGACCTCGTACAGAGGTCCCGTCCGACGATCGGTGTTTAACTGTGTCCGGAGGACACAGCGGGCACCGGATCGCGGTGGTGCGCGCTCCCAGGGAGAGCGCACAGCTAGAAAAGGCGGGTGCCGTTTAGGAACGGCAACCCGCCCCTGGACTGCCACCGCCCTGCCGTTTATAAACAGCAGGCGGATGGCAAGAGGTTAAAAGCTGTACTACAGCTTCCATCAATGAAAAGCACTCTATGAATGGAGGAGGGAGAACGTTCATCCATTCACCCATCCTCCATTCATAGATTACTCTTCTCTGTTTTTATGCAAAAGTTTGCTAGAAATATGTAAGGTTGTGTAGCTCCTTATACATATATTATATGCATGTATATAATGTAGTATGAAGAATCAGAGGTCATCAGCCAGTTGCTTTATTATCAAAAACAAGTAAACACAAATAGCTTTCTTCAGCAAAACTGCTCAGACACAATACTCTGGAATGCCACACTCTGCATTAGTGCTAACCCTGTGTTGCTTTTTCCTATACTCACATAGTGGCAGGGCCTAGTACTGTCAATATATATATATATGTTAGACAAAAAAAATGTAAACAATAAATGATTGGCAGGTGTGAAAGTGACAACATGTTTTGCATTGAAAGCAAAAGCAAAGTATTATTCTTTTGCTTCCGCTGTGTGATGAGACACCTAACAGGCAGAAAGCCTCACTTTCATCATTCACTGCATGCACTGATAGTACTACGACATCATGTTAGAGCTTACTGAGCCTCAAAGAGGGCAAATTGTTGGTACCCCTTAGCTGGTGCCTCTGTGACTGAAGTTGCCAATTTACGTGCCATGTGGTGAGGTACAGTATCAAAGGTTATGGCGGCGTATACAGTTTGCAGGAAAATGTCATCTGATAAGCATAAGCATGGTCAACATGGTCAACTGACCGAAAGAGACAAAAGGACATTGCACAGGATTGTGACCCGGAATAAGAAAAAAACTGCTGCAAAAGTGACTGCAGAGCTCAATCCCAGTGCTGTGAAAACTGCTGCAAAAGTGACTGCAGAGCTCAATCCCAGTGCTGTGAAAATTGAGTCCCGTGAAGGCTGAGATTGAGCTCTGCAGTCACTTTTGCAGTAGCTGTTTTCTTATTCCGGGTCACAATCCTGCACAATGTCCTTTTGTCTCTTTCGGTCAGTTGACCATGTTGACAGCGCTTATGCTTATCACATGACATTTTCCCGGAAACTGTATATGCCATCATGATCTTTGATACTGTACCTCATGACATGGCAAGTAAATTGGCAACTTCAGTCACAGAGGCACCAGCTAAGCGGCACCTACAATAGACAAAAGTACATTGAGCAGGATTGTGACCCGGAATAAGAAAACAACTGCTGCAAAAGTGACTGCAGAGCTCAACCTCAGTCTTCACGGGC